TAAGAATATGCCATAAGTATAACCTAAGATAACAATAATTATTCCATAAAGAGTTTATCTCATATTTTGTCTGGGCGACGCCCAATCAGGCGACTAGGGAGGGCCGCGTTTTATAGACCTATTTGGCTGTCGATCCTTTTAAGGTTTTTCTTTCATGAAGTACGAAAGCAGTTAAAAAATGAATTTACACAGATTTTCACTTCGAAAAGGCTCTTCGTTTTGTGATATAGTACACTTGAATTTCTAAGCTTTTGCGTGACACAGCATCGCAGCTGTCATATAGGTTAAAAAAGTGAGTTATTGTAAGGGATTTTGCTACTTGAACAGTCATTTTATTAGGAAAGGTACTGCCTTTATGTTTGTGAGTTCCTTGAGAGATGAATTCAGCAAAACTCGATATTTTCTCTAGAGCTCATGCAAAAATAACTTATACAATGAGAACTCAGCCTTTTATAGCATCATGATAACTTTTAGGTCCCATTAGAGCTTATTAGGAACAGTGATTTTGATTATCAAGAATGCTCTGAGCAGTGGGTTTCATCAAAAGCCGCAAACCACAAAGAAACTGGATCTAATGCCTTTCGGACCTTGGTGGTAACGATTTTTATAACTATACAAAAACTGTATCCTACTGATTTATTTTAAATTTTTTGCCTAAAGTGTTTTTGCCTTTTTAAGAATAATTTCTATTAAGAATAATTGCTTTCACTTTATAAACATTCAAGTCCTTTATTTAAAGATTTAAATGTTGTCAAGTTGTTTGACATTATCATCCTTCAACTTGCATTATTTATGTAAAGTTTCTTCCTCTCTTACTCTTTAAGAAAAACCTCAAGCGAATTCTTCTTGAAAACTACTGAAAATTGTAAAGTATTTTAACACCATAATTCTTCTGCTTTCTGTTGTTTTTCTACTTTGACATCCTTAACTTTCTTTACTTTTTTTTGTTTTGGTGTTGAGCGCACATGCGCGCGCGCGTGTTTTGTGTTTGGGTGTTATGTTTGGGTGTGTGTGTGTGGTATCTGACCCAAATAATTATAGATAAATCGCCTAAGTATGGCTGACATTTTTGTTAATAATAATAATAATAATAATAATAATAATAATGGTTTATTAACAGATCCACAGATCCTTAGCTCCTATAGTTATTTGGGGCAGCCTGTACTCCTCGGCCATATTTCTGTATACTGTTGGGAACAAATAAACTTGTTGTTGTTGTCCTGGTCAGGGTCGAGTTGTTTTAGCACGTCAGGGTAAAACTCTACTTAAGTCTGATTCTTCTCTGAGAGTTTGAATTTTAAATGCTTTAGGATGTAAAAAGTTTAAAATTGTAAACAAACCTGAAAGAAACTTAACGCTTGAAGGAGGCGATTGACCCGATATTGTGCCTGCTCGGCGTTTTTACTCCATATTTCAGTTTCTGTGAAATAAAATATTGATCATAATCAGGAGGACATTCACCATAATTCTGTTGAAACTGAATGCAATTATGACGATTTTCGAGATTACATAACGACTGAAATTTTTGTAGAAATTACGCGATTTAAATAGAACGGTTTAAGATTATATAGAACAATTGCAACAATCATTGTTGTACCCTTCATTCATTTAATCTTCAGTTGGTTATTGCTTTTTGTCGACCACTTACGCAGTACAAAGGTTAACCACATAGCATAGCTACAAAGTAACTTATGCTTAAGTATCTATAAATGATAAGGAAAAGAAAACAAATCTGTACTCACAGGAATCTCGATGTGTCCACTGCAGTTGTGTATTCTAGTTCATGGAAACTCAGTTGAGGGGTGTGGCCTAGCTTTTCTTCAAGTAAGGAAATATATGGTATGACATTAGCGTTCGAAAATGAAACAGTTCATCACTGGTCTTAAAATTAATGTGATAAATTTCGGATTATGGTAAGGTTTTAAAAACTATAAATTATAAGGAATAGAAACCAAATTGTTGTCACAGATCGAGTTGCGTCTATGTCTACCGGAATGGCCAGAGAGCGAGCGGAAGCATAGTAGTGGGGGCATAGCTTATGCTTGAAGTAGGGGTCAATATGGCAAAGCATAGCACAGCATAGCATACATACATGCATACATGTTTTTTTATTTGGAGTGTTATACAATAAATAGTATATCAACTATTTCCAAATAACGAAAGTTACAAACCAAAAAAATTCCCAACCATATATATCGCCAACAAGTTAGCATGACGTCAGCATTCAAAAACGAAACAATTGATCATTGTTTGACAGCGTATCAACATCACATCGATTATAGTAACGCTTACTTGATTAGTCCACAACGAAACAAAAGGTGTTAGGTTACCGAAATTGTTTGCCCTTTTTTTCGGTTCGCAGAAGTTGTTTTTCTGGAGGAGAAGAGCGAACCCCCCCCCCCCCACCCCCCCCCCCCGCCATGCATATTTCTTCAATTTCAACAAGTGCCTTTATTAAAACGTGCGACACATGTATAGCTTTAATGCTACAATGTTTAAAAATGCAAGCATGTTCGCTAGTAATTATTTCAGTTCAAAGCAGTTGTCTAATCCTGAATTGATATATTAGGGTCGGGACCCCCCTGATCCATGGGTCAGCCACTAAACTAGAAAAAAGCAACATATTTAATAGATTGAATATTTGGCGCAAATAGGACTTTGGATTAAATTTAGGTTTCTGGGAAACTGCCCACCTACCCCTCCCCTAAGCCATCATTTTGCCCAAAGTGAGAAGTAAGTGTTAATGTTAGCATAGGGGAGGGGTAGGTGGGCAGTTTCCCAGAAACCTAAATTGATCCAGGATTTTTATGTTTCATGCCGATTCACGTGTAAAGCTTCAAGTCACGTTGCATATTATCTCTTATGTAAGAATATGCCATAAGTATAACCTAAGATAACAGTAATTATTCCATGTAGAGTTTATCTCATATTTTGTCTGGGCGACGCCCAATCAGGCGACTAGGGCGGGCCGCGTTTTATAGACCTTTTTGGCTATCGATCCTTTTCAGTTTTTACTTTCATAAAGTACTAGAGCAGTTAAAAAATGACAACGCTTTATTGCCAACAAGGCAACCGAGCTAAGAAGCGAGGTTGCCTCGGCGGCAGATTTATAATCCCGCACGATGTAGGCAAAACCTCTCAAATTCTGCGTAACCCTCTAAAATTTGCATTTTTGACCATTTTTGGGTGTAAGTAAGACCCCATACTTGGGTAGTGGCGTCATGGTCTTGTATTTACAACGCGTGGTCCGAAATTGGGTGATTCAGTGTGCAGCTGTTTGTTGTCTGTTTAAGAGGCCCTAACAGGTGAGCAAGCTTTGATACGATTTTTCGTTTGAAAGGGCTATTAGTGCTCTGGTCTGCTTTATAAATTGCGTTTAAAGCAGCAGCTGATCAAGGAATAGGGTTTTACGCTCAAAGTTTTGTCAGAACCAGCTTGTTCTTTGCTGCTCTATTTACAATGAAGTAGCCTGTTCGCTTCTCGACTCAAAACCAGGGTTTTCAGTGTTCTCTTTTCCTTTGTGAATTGAATTTTAAGCGGTAGTTGATCAAGGCATTGGGTTATATTCTCAAAACTTATATCAGAACCAGCGTGTTCTTCGCAGGTCGATTTACATTGAGCCAGTCCTCACCTCCCGTGAGGAATGCAACGTATTTGCTGACCTTTTTTTAGAATTTATTCATGTCTTTAGATTTTGTCAACCAGCATGTTTTTTTGCTGCTCGATTTACATTGAGACAGCCCAAAACTTCCGTGAGGAATACCTACGAACTTGGGGACCTTTTGTTTTGAAGACTATCATTTTATGCCTTTCAAGGGATCTTTGTCCTGTGACACTCGCTCATTAGATCTTTGTTTTTTATTCAAGTTTATATTTTTATACCTCTGATACATTCCGCCCCATTCTTACGCTTTTCACACATTTTACTTTACACCATTTTTTTCTTATGTATATTACTACGCGAAATATTTTTCTTATCCCTGATGACGCTGTTGCTCGGAATTTAATTATTATTTTCAATTTCAGCAGTTAAAGGCCTCATTTGAAGTATATTTCTCTTTCTAATGTTTATAGTTTTGATACAATGGAATTTTCCATGAAACATAAGTGCTAACTTGTTCATATTTACTAACAAAGCTTCAAGCTATGTTGTTATTGTTTAATAAAAGTGAAAGCTTAGAGTGTGCCAAAGTTGTTGCTTTGAAGTTGGGTGCCATCCTTTTCTATAGCGAAATCCATTTTAAACCTCTAAAATTATGGAAACGATATATATATCGGGAAGATCTGAATAGGCAATTTCCACAAAAGATAAACGACTTCGCCTCGTTGGCACTTGCCGGAAGGCACCCCTAGTAGAAACTTGACTTAACAGCCAGGATTTTCCCTGAAAATGACAACTTCACAGCTCCGTATCAAAAAATGAGATATCTCCCCAAAGCGTTATGTATATCAAACGTTGCAAACAACAAAAACGAACTTTGAAAAACTGTTTTGAAAAACCACAATTATGATCCGTTTCAATGTTTTTCATGTTTGTCCATCCATGAATCCTTTTGTATTTGCTATGTTTTCATGCCTTATCTTAGTGTTTTGATGCTTTATTTTATGTTCTACTCACTTTGGTGGCAGCTCTCTCTCTCTCTCTCTTTCTCGCCTCCTCCCTGATTGGAGCCAGTCTTCTTAACCATGCCAATCTACCTAGCCTGCAAATAGGCGATTACAAGATATCGCTATCTTAATGTTTAAAGTCAAACATGGTATTTTACCCAGCAATTTTAGCTACAGTTTTAGTGTTAAATTACCCAACTCCGACTTAAGACATAAGGATTTTCATACACCCAGATTTAATACTGTTCATCTTGGCAAACGACAATATTATGTTATGTCACGTGTTAAGTCATGTCATGTCATGTCACGTCACGTCATGTCGTGTTATGTTCTGTTCTGTTATGTCATGTCATGTCATGTCATGTCATGTTATGTTATGTTATGTTATAGATTCAAGGTTGACCACGTAGTTTGATCCAAAAAATCTTCTCTTCAAATTCTTCAGCTTCATTATGGTTTTTCCTCATCAGTAATTCGATCAATGCTACTCGAAACTCTCTCACCCTTAAATAATAAACCAAAGGATTAACAAGAGAATTCAAGATCACTAAAGTACTCACAGCCACATGGATGGCCCATAATTTATCCAAGTTTACGATGTCTTTCAAAGGCTCCCTCAGCTTTCTAAAACTAACCGTGGGCAGGTAACTTATAATTACAAGTGCAATAATCGTCAATGTTAATTTAAAGGCTCGCTTTTGAGATAAAAAGTTTTCTCTTGTTGCAGCATCGACTTGCTGAGAGGCTATTTGTTTTTCATGTCGTCGAGCCTCACTATAGACTATCGCATTACAAATAAGGATGATCACAATAAGCGCAGTTCCGAGGACACTGATGATAGATTCAAATAATCCATCGTCGATGAAGAACACGATGTGAATGATTACAGTCAGTGTCCATGCAAGAGCTGAGCCAATCAGTACACGGGCCTTGGTGACGGTTTGAATGTAGATAAAGGGGTACGTGATAGCAATGCATCGATCCATAGTTATTAAGAACAGGTGAATAAAGGAAGCGAAGCAAAAAAAGTTAGCGAAAAATTTAACGGCAATCTGTAGAGAGCATACACCGGTTGTGGTGTCCCCTTTTAAGAGGTTCGCCATCACGGCAATAAGGAGAGGCTGAGCCACTAATCCGACCATCAAGTCAGTCGAGGCTAGGCAGGCTAATGCAATGTTAGACTTTCTCTGCAGTCGTGCTTTGGTCTTCACAGCGATCATCACCAACAGATTCAACAAAATGGTGATAGGGCAGGTGGTGGCGTGGATTACGATGAAGGCGACAAGAACAGAATTGGCGAAAATGGAAAACTCAACGGGCTTGTCACCAGTTAGACTGTTGACAACGCAGTTCAAGTGGAACTCGTTTGGACCCGGCTGGTGACTTGAGTTCATCGTCTACTGACGCTTCTGTCTTAGACTTACTAATTCTGCAAAATGTCGTTTTATTCTGCTTTGTCTTTCTTTGCGACTAGCCGGACGAGATTATATTTTAAATTCAGTGTTACAACACTGAATTTAAACTTCGCCGATGCCTCCCATTAAATAACTTTTATGGTGAAACTTTATGTTTGTGAGATTGTATACCACCATCAAAACCCAAAGAAGATTAGGAAGAAAATAAAGATCAGATTCACCTGTCTTCTTGATTTTCTTTAGCCCCAGTTTTTTATCATGAATTCAATAAAAAAAAACAGTAAAAAATCTAAAGTTACGATTTTTTTCTTCCAGTTTTGTAACGTGCTCTGAAATGGATTGTTTCTTCCATCGAAGACGAAAAGTAGCACTCCGATAGTGTTTTAAGCATGTAATAAGGTGAAACTGAACCATGGACTACGTACGCGAGAAATGAATGATTACATATTAATTTGCGTTGCTGGATAATCTTCATTGTAATCTTGTTTTGAAAAGATAAAAGCTCCAACGCCTCAAAACCTCTTCAATATTTATATTTTCATTGATTACCCATTCTCTCGATTTTTTTTTATATCCCAGTTCCACCAAGGCCGAATACGATAGTTTAAAAAACACTGTTATTTGTTTTTCTTTTTAACCCTTTCACTCCCAAAATGGCTTAAGTCGAAATTGGACAAAAATTCCACATTTCAATTTGTAAAATGCTGCAAAATAAATAGCACCATGTGAAAGTACTGATGAAGAGGTTTCATTTGAATGGTAACACGATAGGATTTCATCCACAGACTCAAAAGTTAGAATTACATGCTAAATAAATAGTACCATGTGAAAGTACTGCTGAAGAGGTTTCATTTGAATGGTAACACCATAGGATTTTGACCATAGACTCAAAAGTTAGATCCATGCAACAAGACTCATCATCAATTCAATCTGGAATTAATTAGAATAACTTTGGAGTTTATACGATATTAACACTTTTACAATGCCGAAAATTAATTAATAAAAAACCAAAACTTGTCACTGAATTTGGAGCGATATGTCGTAGCTTTCTCGTTTCCAAAATATAGTTTGACTTTCCTTCGTTTCTCAGTTATACACGAACATGATCTCTTGACGCATCGCTTTCGTCATGTTTCGTGAAGTGTTTAAGCCATGTAGAAAACGAGAAGAAACAAATAAAACGATAAATTAAAAAAGTGCAATTCAGTTGAGCAGAATCTCCAGTAAGACGATGTAAGTCACTTGAGAAAAATCCTTAAAATAACAAAAAATCGGCAAATGGGAACATCTGTTAATTTAACACTGCAAACTCAACTTAAAAGAGAAAACGACTAGATTGAGACGCCATTATTATTTTTTTGGATAATTAAAAAAGTTGGATTAACAGTTAAGTAATTTCATATTGTATAAAATTATATGCGTTCAAACTCTTCGTCAATTCTTTTTTCGTCTTTGTTAATCACGATAATCATAGAATAAGAATTATTGTAACTTGAAACATTTTCCTTCCCTGCATTAATTTTTTCTTTTAACTGGGCCGCCTAGATGAGCAATTGCTATTTTGCAGGCCAGTCTATTGTAAAAACCAGTTTTAACAAATTAAGTTGAAATTGAAGTTGACTTGATTAATTCTTGCATGAAAGGTTTTGGGATAACGGTGTTCTTTTCAAATAAAATATATCAAATCTATTAATTCATCACTTATTTTTTAATGCTTTTCCGTTGCCATCGTATAAAATCACACGTAAAACGCTGATTACAGTATGATTTCTTTAATGGAGCAATGCTGCATCGCGCCGATCTTGACTTTGGAGCGTCACATATTGGATATGTTTCTGCCGCTGTTCGTCGCAGTGTGAACAACCATTCGGATCGAAGCGAAAGTATTGAAAGTACGTAGAGACCTTTAGATTCTACAGGGGCACCTAACGTCAATTTTTGGAAAATATCTGTTCGGAAGGCAATTTGAGATCTAGAATTTTCGGAACATTTGTTGTAAAATTTCTTGCTTGCCTGCCTCTCCTAGGATTTTCGAACATCTAAAAAGTGGTATAATTGTCCATTTTTAACGGATTTTTATCCTAAAAAGGTCACCTAGAATTTTCGGGAGCCTTTTTTCTGGCTGAAATTTTCGAAAAGGTAATATAAGTTTTGATGCTTATAATTTTCTGATCACTAGACTTTCAGCTAGGATATCCGAACAGACCAAAAATTTTTAGGGGACAAAAAAATTCCTGTAACTACCGTTTAAATATTAAAATACGTTCAACAATGCTATGTTTAAGTGGTTTTGAACTATATTCTCGTTGGGCGCCCCTGATTCTAAGACGAGGACGACTACGAGTACGCGATTTTCTCAATACTGACTAGTGCTAGCGCCGGCGTTTGAACCAGCGTCATTTTGGCGGGAAAACCGTGATAGTCGTCGTGATTCTACTACGAGTTTTAGCGAAAATGTGGTGGTGGCGGAAACAAGCATAGTTAATTAAAGTGGAATGGTTGGGAAACCCTTTGTTATATGTTTTCGTGAACTTTTTTTGGACCTGACCGTGCACAACATTCAGTAGCATTCCTATCATTTTGAACCAATAGAATCATTGCATTAATCAGTTATTCAGTCACAATTTGTGAACAAAAAACAAAGGATTCTTCACGGTCAGAGAGCTTCCAACATGACCTACAGCACCATTGTTTTCAACTTTCATGTTTGCCAGCTTTCCTAACCAGTCTCCTCTAGCAACTAACCATGAAACAAGTTATCAGTTGTAGAGGTTTTATCATTTTGCGACCGTGAGAGCGCTTAATCTCCTTCAATTAAAGTAACTTTACTAATTTCCTTAATGAAAAAGAAGTACAATGAAGCTTTCCAGTGTGTCTAGTTTTTGAGAATATGCGAAAAAAACTTTAAGTCAAACCTTTTAAGCAAATTTCTAGCCTGCGTAGCAAGCGTTTCCGCGCGAGTTCATCAAGAAAGTTGGGACGAGAGCAATAACTCGATTGGAAACGCTTGCTACGCAGGCTAGCAAATCTCGTAAGCAAGTATTCAGAAGTGAGGACAGTTGTGATCCTCTCGGCCAACTGTCCCCGTACGAAGTTCGATGTGTGTGAACGACTTGTTCCAGTTACAGCTTCTTTTAAATTAAAGTAAATTGAAGGAAGGGTCCCCCGTGTATTTCATTCTTGCATGGCCGCGGTCGATTTTGATCTTTGAATTATGGCGCTATACTAGAAGTAATCGGGGCTTAGGAGAATGCCATCGAGATTGTTTGTTAGATGTTTTAAATAATTAAAAACGCTTTACGAAGATAGGAACGGATCACCAGGCAAGTTACAGCGTCAAAGAGAGGCAAAATGTATGCTAGCTCTTCAAAGCGAGGCGAATGTGTGTCGACACAAAAAATCTCGCCTATCAATTGCACAGGACACCCAACAGAAATTAGGGGTTGCGTTCTCGTACCCCGAACGCAACAGGCCAAAGAATAGATTCGCGTAGAATGCTACATGTAGTTTAATCTCGTGCCCAGATCTCACTCCTGTTTTGACCTTGGGAGATCTGGGTACGAGATTACATGTAGTTAACAGCTAGAATGTTTACCATGAATTATGCTTTAAGAGCAAAACAATTCTGTACCATGTAGACCTTTCTTTCTTTGCCGGTTCAAATAGTGTTTACTTTTTGCATGAATTAAAGCAAAGGAGTAATGACGTCACTGGACAGCATTAGTGGCTCGTCGATTCAGAAGTCCTTCTCGGGAGTACGTAGCCTGCGAACAGCAGACGCACTTCCGGTCGTCGCTTCTCTCCCTCCGAAAAATAGTGAGCTTAAGATCCGACGACGGCGAGATTCTACGACGGCAGACTTGGTCGAGGGGGCTTGGGGTGAGGTCGCCGTCGCAATGGCGCGAAAAATACCATTAAGAAAGCTCGCGCGACGGCCGGTTGTTGTAGCGCCTTTTCCTGTTGAAGTTTAGAAATAAATACAAGAGTGATGACTACTTTTAGAAAGGTTCGTGAATTGTTACTGACAAGTTTCGATGATGGCGACATTTCAGAAGATGAATTTTTACTGTTGTATGATGTCAACAGATCTAAAAGACCGGATTTTCGCTACCAGAATTACGAACATTTTGACCTCGAGAGGCTTGACGAAAAGATGAGTGACATAATCCATTGGACCTCAATTTAATGCCAAAACAAATCTACGATATCATAATTGTTAATAAACACATCAATAACACAAGAAAAAACTTGTAAAACTTACTAAGTTGCTTTCTTTGTCGAGTTGACCGAGTCCATGGCGATTAACGAGTCAAACTGTTTAGAGAGGGTAAACAAATTTAATTTAAATACCGTGTTCAAATCGTTTAAGTCGCTTAGAAATTCGACAAAAATGGTCTACTGAGAATAAACTGTTAACAGTGCTAAAGAATTTCGCTCAAAATGTGTTTAAATGGCATTATTTTGATCAAGTTTACTCACGTTTTACACGCAACGGCAAAATGGCCTTCTTCACGTCACAGACAAGGCCGCTACGGCGGGAAACTTCGCAACGACGGCAGCCGGAAGTCTTTCTAGCAGTAATTTCACTTCCGCTCGCCGTCACAGAGGTCTACCGTCGTCGGATCTTAAGCAGGCTAATAGCTATTTTTCGGAGGGAGAGAAGCGACGACCGGAAATGCGTCTGCTGTTCGCAGGCTAGGGAGTACGCGATTCAAGGGGAAGGCTGAAATTTAGGCTACAGTGAGCCAGTTGTTTTAGAAAACTACCCCATGATCCAATGGCCATCCCAATACCTGTGAACGTATATTAAGGAACTACAACAAGCATACAACTTACTGAACGTGGTAAATTTATTTGTGAAGCTTTGCTCTAAGCGAGGGAAATGACACCAAGCACAATAAATACGTTACAAAACAAAAACAATGTCTGGTAAAAAAACTAATAAACAAATGCACACACTATACAAATGGGTGATAACTTATGAAACTTAGTACGCTCTCTCACACGGGGTGTACCGGGCGGAGCTGTTCATATTTCACCTTGTTTGTTCCCCAAAAGTTTGCACAAGCGTTTTCTTCAATTTATCTTGGGATGCTTGTAATAACCAGGAGAAATTGAAAACTAGGGTTATGCAACTTTTATTGTGGTGGGTACCCTGGGTACCCGAGGTTTTTTTTCTTGCGTGCGACGGGGAGCTTCGTTTCGTCGGCCACAGGCCGACACGTGTTCGGCCGAAGGCCGAAGTCACGAGGGGCGAAGTTTTTCGCGCGGGTCACTTTTTAAGACTTGACCGAAACCGGAAACCGCGCATGAAAAGCCTCTGGCACCCAGGGTATGTGGTGGGGGGAGGCAAACAAATGTTATAAGAGATGTGGCAATGGTGAATTGGTGGTAGCTTGTCTTCGAACAAACTCGGCCAGTTTGTCTGGATGTATACACAAATTCTTTCATTTAACGCTAAATAATTCAACGTTACAAAACGAAATAAATACGTTTTAACTTAGATATTATACTACCTTGTATATTATAGTATCACCTAAGAATAATAAATATAAATATAATGTTCGCTTTAACTTAAACTTTACAACAACTTGTGGAATAAAACAAAACCTCTTCCGATATGTGCAATGGCGCACTTACCGGACATCAACACACTCAGAACTTAATTCATAAACACAGACAACGGACTATCTATTGCCTGCGTCGCAAGACGCTCTAAACCTTCTGTATACAGCTATTTCGAGAGAGGTTGTCGGCAAAAATGTGCACGCGACGATCCCGAAAGGTAATATGGGATATGATCAATACACTGTTCCAGACACTGTAGCTGTCAAGACATCTTTTGTTGCTTTCCTTTAGCACGTGCAAACATACGTCCATGGCCTCTCGTGCCATTCTTTCAAATTTATTTGAAGAACAGTGAACTCAAAACCACCCACAATACCTTTCGGGATTGCCGCGTGCACTTTTTCCGACAACCTTTTTTCGAAACAACTGTATACAACAAATGGTTTAGACAAGTGCGGGGACCGGCTGCAACGCAGGCTAACTATCTACTACCTTCACGAATTTCTGTGGCCATTTTATATAAGCTGTTCGCTTACAAACTGGGCTGTATTGAGGAGAGAAGTCGTTTACGTCACGTTACCATGGTAGTAAATTTCTAGCAAATTCTGGATCTGAAAAAATCTTGGTCCAGCAAATATGGCAGAAAAAAGCGAAAACAATGCGGACATGTATGACTTTCCTCAGCTTGATTGTACTGAGAAACAAAACGGTAGCCCATACGTTTCTTCCATCGTTCGACAATGCAAATAGCCGTCTCTGTCAAGAAAGATTCCTGAGATCCAGTAATATTGCTACCATGGTAACCTGCATTCGGCCTCATGGACTATTGACAACTATTGACAATTATTCCTCGAGCCCGAATAGGCTCGAGGAATAATCTTTAAAAACAGCTTGCAGCTGAAGTGTTACAAATGCTCTTAATTAAAATTCAGTATACTAATATGTATGGAGAATTCATTAAATTCATATTTTAAACCCACGTAAGGAAATTCCTGACTACCCAATTTCTGAATGGATATTTAATTACCCCATGCAAAAATATTAATTTATTGTGATTTTCCGTGACAGTTTACTACCTATTGAAAAATATGAAAATATCATAGCCTGCGGGAATTTATTAAAGCTAGTTATCAATTTGCCACCACAAAAGGATCATTAGAATCCGTGGGGAAGCACTGCAATTTTTGGGAACAATTTTCTCGACCAATTTTCACCTTACAAAACCATATTTAAAGAATTTACCTAACATTCTACCCACCATATTATACTGGAGTACGAAATTTACTTCTACCAGTTATGAGTTTCTGCCTTTACTTAGTAGCTAAATAATTTAATTCATTTTCTAAACATCTATGTTGAATTATTTCACCCCTCACTTATATTTTTTATATTGCGCTACCCTATTCACAGACCCTCTGTTTTCTCTTTAGAGATCGTCATGCGCGCGAATGAAAGTAAAAACCGTCGCCGATTTACTGACCGCAAGCGGAAGGGAGTAGGGATCAAGCTCTTGAAAAAAAAGAAAAAGTCTGTGGACAGCCCACTATTGCGATTAACAGTAACCTAGTACCCTGATCCTTGTGTTAAGTCTAGGACAAGCTTGAAACCGATTTCAACGCTACGATTTGTCGGCGCAAACTGTCCGTCAAACTTTACGACCCATTTACGACTAAACGTTCCGATCATTCAGTCTAAAAGAGAATGGCGAGATAGAAAAAGGCCTAAAATCGGGCAGTTTACACCTTTTTGTTCGTCAAGAGATTGTTCAAATATAGTTCCAAAATAAATAGAACAAAATTAATCGTAACGTTTCGACCGAGCCTCATTTGCAGGTAACTCTGTGAAGTAACAACATAAAGAGTAAGAGGGAAGACTGGTGAAGAGGAGTCATCTTGCAGAGCGATGCTGCCAGAGGATCAATCGGAAGTTACTAGGGAGTTAAGCAAACCGCTACGACGACCTCCACCACAGCGACTGGAGGTAAAGAAGCTTAAAAATGACGCAATGCACATGCTTGGAAATGACCTTTCTAAATTGTAAATTATAAATCGATAGCCGTATTAATCTCCCATGCGGGATATATATGATACAAAAGTATGATCAGCGGTCTTTGTCATAATAGTGGCAAGTGTCAATAATCCTTGAAATGTTTAAATTAGATAGGCCACCTTTAAATGACTGGGTTGAGTTTAAACAGCGCAGCCTGCGTTGGAAAAAGGAAGATCGGACAGATGAGAAGTATGATGTGTTTGGCGACCACTTGGCAGGAGGGGTGAAGTGGAGATATCGACAAAGACCGTGGACAATTTTGTACATAAGCGTCAGGCGGGCTATCGCCCTACGCTACTCAAGCGACTGGAAACCGATGTTACTAATCCGTAGCACCAAATCCTACAACTTAAAGACCTGTCTTCTGGTGTAGTCGCTACTACGTGAGTATAAAAGTCACCTTTTCTCTTATTTTTTTACAATCACTGGTTTTAAAACCTATCATAGATTGTTTCTCAATTTATCAAGAAAGTATTTGACGCTTCTGGTCTAATTAGTAATTCTAATTAGTCTTCCCTACGTTTTACTGACAGCGACAGCAAATTAGCGAGAAACCCCGTTTAGTAACTATTTGGGCATCGCTTGTTTACAGTTGAAATTTGGCAGGCTAGGGTGACGTATCTACCCAGGACAACGCATCCACGACCGCCGTAGAAGAGGTCGCAGTAAAGATTTGCTAAAAGTCCCTTCTAAATTACCTTTAAACAAGTAGACTACCTAAGTAAATGCTGTACGAATTCCATCCTATTTCAAGAGTTTCAAGATAAGACCAAACAGCAGTAGAAAAATGGCTGCCTTCTGGGCCACGGTCGGGAGAACGCCATTTGACAGAGCATCTTTTGAGTAGACAAAGGGAAGCCAGTCACGGTAAAGCTGAAGAATAAAACAATATATCACGATTAACACAGTCTTCATATGAGTATCCAAAATTCAATTGGATATCGAAAGCAACTTCGAACTAGATATGGTTTGCAATGATGCGCTTTGTGATTGGCCGGATTAGATGATTGGCTTGCAGTGAAACCAAAACCAGTCGTCACTGATCGTGACTGGCGCGCAAGAGTTTTCCCGCGCTCAATGCTGCCATGATCTGATTGGTACATTTGTTGGGCCTTTATGGACCACCGATAAGCCAATAAGCGCCGCACTTAGGATCAAAATATATAAAAACACCGCAACCTACCAGCTACGATGGGCGCTTATCGATTTTTATTGTTTATTTACGGTTATTGCTATAGGTTTGGATCTGGAAGGGGGCATAGACTGTTAAAACTAACTTCATGTTATGTTCTTACAATTGTTCGTATCGTTTTTCTAACAAAAGGAAGAAAAAACAACAACAGCAATAAGCGCCGCCTGCGAAAATGCGTAGCCTTCAAATACGCGCCGCACCAACAGAGCCTTCCGTAGCAAGCGTCTGCGTACGGTTTCAGAACAAAGCAAAAAGACCTAGAAACGGGATTTTCGCTTTTGACCGTGCAAAAAATGGAACGAGAGCCAAAAAAGGAAACAGGGGGAGGGAGAGGGGAGGTTTCCTTCCTTTCCCTTCCCCTCCCCCCCTTTTACTCTGCCGATTTTTCGCACGCTTTTTCTTTGCTCCGAAACAACACGGAAACGTTTGCTACGTAGTTACGCAGGCTATATAAAGCGTCGCGGTGTTTTTTCAAATTAATATAATAATCTACGACACAATAAGAGAGATTTCTGATAAGATATTCCGCAACAAACCTTGAGTGCAGGGGATCTTCCAAGGCATCGCAGCCTTAGATCTATGCTGAAGAATGAAAAGCGAATGGAATGACTGTCATATACATGTATGAGTTATTGACCAAGTGTGAGATCAAGATGGCTGAATATTCGCCAAGTTCTTTTCTGCGTTTTTATTGAACCTGACTTCGTCTTGGTCAATAATAACCCAAGAAAGAACTAGGCCAATAACTAGCCATCTTGACCAAACATGCTTGGTCAATAAGGGATTTACTATATGGCCAAAAAGAGAACTTTTTTCTTGCGGGAAGAACGCGGGAAATCCCGAGCGGGCCCATCTTGCCCGCTCGGGTAGCCAATCAGAACGCAGGATCCGCTCTATCTTGCCCGCTCGCGGATTCAGCCATATAATAAATTTGTTAATTTACAAACTAGAGACCACTTTTTAAGATATACTGGAAAAAAAAAGTTATTTGCACCAGAAAAATGCTTGAAAATGTGCCGATAGTTTTCCATAAGCAACCTAAGTTTAAGACGACAGCAGCACAATGCACACACAAAAAACAGAAAACACAAGAAAACAGCCGCTTCTCCTCGCTCTTCGCCGCTGGGGGCGTTTCGCGCGAAACGTCCTCAGCGGCGAAGAGCGAGGAGAAACGACTGTTTTCGCAGGTTAACATAATGATGACTGATTTTTCCTGTTTCTGGGTTGTAATTATTGCTAACTCTGGATCTCTTGTGCAGGTTAATGACGATTTGTTGTACAGTTTTCTTTTATACGTTCTCCATGCGTTTAGAATTTATCTACCAGTCAGTTCCCAAGGTGCCCTCCCCCACCCCACCCAGAGAACCTAGGGGGCACTACTGAAGTAGGGTCAGAATTTCGAGGAGCCGGCGGTACATCCCCACCAAGAATTCCCAGGAGTACGCCCCCAGGCGTTTCCGAGGGGGACCGGTGTATTTTAAGATACATTTTAGAGTAATTTTTCCAACGAAAATGGGATTTTCTTCCCCGTCTTTAAGCGCATTCGAAGTATAAGATATCAAAAAGGAAAACTAAACGTCATTAAAAGGTCAGTAAGTCAGGTAGGTTTTGCTGACTTAATCGATAAAATCAAACCCCGCTAAACGGACACCTAATTACAACAGACAGTTTGCTTTGTCGCTGGGGAAAGAAAGACCTTACATTTTCTCTAAATTCAACCCGCTTCTGATACGGCCACCCTGTAAATACAAACAATTTCTATGGCCTCCTTAGTGTCCATATTAACGAGGTTTGACTGTATTCCAAATTCGCGTCAGAACTGTTCTAACCGTTCCAACAGTTCTAAAAATAAACTGGTCTGTGAAAACGCCGTGAAACAAGTACATGGAAATTACTTTCTCCGGGTTATGATCTCCTGAACGGACTGAATACAAACAATTTCTATGGCCTCCTTGGTGTAGGGTAGCAAAATTCAGCTAAACTAGTTCTGCGTCAGAACTGTTCTAACCGTTCCAACAGTTCTAAAAATACACTGGTCAGTGAAAACGCCGTGAAGCAAGTACATGGCAGTTACTCTCTCCGGGTTATGATCTCCTGAACGGACTAAAGATTTTGTAAAGAGAATTTGTATTTTATTTACATACCTGAAGAGAATGTGATAGTAAGATCCTATAGCTGCTAGAGTGTGCCATACGGCGTGTAGTTGTAAGAATGGTCTCATGGGTACAGGGAATTGATTTCGTAGCAATCTGCAAGGAATTAAACAAGAATAAAATTGGCGCCCTAAAAAGGCTTAATGTATGGAAAAACGGGCAACAAACAACGCGCAACTTGTCCTGTAACATTGCTGCAAAATGAGTTGAATAGCGATGTTGCGCGTTTTACCACCCCCATCAAACCTGTCTTGCAACAAATCAGGTTGTTAACAGGTTTGAACATGAGTGGTAAAACGTGCAACATCACTATTCAACTTGTTTTTCAGCAATGTTGCAAGACAAGTTGCGCGTTTCTTGTTGCCCATTTTTCCGTACCTTAAGATGGTTGAAATCTATACCCATCATGCTTTTTGCAATGCACATACCACCTACAGATATATATAAATAAACAGTCAAACCTCCTGTAAGCGATCACCCAAAATGCAAAGACTGAGTGGTCGCCTATATTAACAAGAATCGAACCACAGGGGGTCTCTTCTGAGAAGAGGTCCAGACACTTCTACTTTATGGAAGATAATTGTTTATTGCATGCATTGTCTAAGTCACGCCATGTGTAGTTCCATGTTGTCAGTAAAGTTCTTCGTATATTCTTAGTAGCAGAGTGCACACAGCAAACATAGAGATCAGAGAATGCATCAAGTGGTAGCTCACAAGAGGCTAAAAACACTGTAAAATGCTTAACTGTCAAGCCCATAAAGTGGTCGCCGTCGCTTACAGGAGGTGGTCATTTACTACAGGTTCTAACTGTAAGGCTTTGACTGGGAAAATTTCAGTGTTTTGGATTGGTGGTCGCTTATGGGAGGCGGTCACTTACAAGAGCTGGTTGCACATAGAGGTTCGACTGTATATTATATAGGGAAGTCAGCCTTTTAATGCTGGAACTGACATTTTGTAGTACCTCTTACCTCACAGAGGAGCAAAAGTTGTTGTCAATGTTCCAAAAAATAAATCCAGTGGCATAGCTAAAAGTGGATTCAAAATAGAAATAGAACACAATAATATACTATATTCATTCACGTGTAAAATTATCATAAGGTATGGTTCACAATATGGAAAGGGTACAATAATTTACTGCATGAAATTTTATGATGACTGTGATTCAATTGTGTTGAGATGGCATGAGAATTTTTACCAAGGTCAACCATCTGATAGCTTATGACAGCAGGTTCACAATTAAGTACAGGTGAAGACAAAAAACAAGGGCAAAACCCGAAAAGAGGGAGTGGGAAGACTTAATAGTTCTTTTTAGTTGGTGTCAAGAGAGCTCTGGCAGCATCTGCAGCATCCAAAAATTACTTTTACTGAAAATTCTTAAATATTTTAACACAATTTCAGAAGAAGGGGCCCCCTTTGAGCCTCCCTATGAATCAGTCCCTGACAAAAATATTTGAATTGACATTGGCAAGTGTCTGCTTGATAGCAGGTGACCACTTTATAAAGGTTTACTTGATACAGGATCAGGTTTGGGACCAGATAACTTTAAGAATATTGGCAACCATATATACTGCACATAATCTTAAATACCAGAGTATTTTTTCAATGCATGGAATGCATTTTGACTTTGAATTCCACTGTAGAGCCAAGGTGAATCCAAATTTGAATTTCTGCCAAGGATAAAAACTCCCTAAACTTTTCAGTACATGCATAATAACTGTGCCACATTGATTGCATGACCTGACATACATGGCATTGGTTCTTAGTGATAACAATGCTGACCTCCTACTTCTTGCATGGAAATTTTACACTGGCTATTGGTCAAAAAGTATTTAATACCTAACAAGCGATATGGTTACAAGCCTCCAAGAACCTCTGTGTTTTCTGAAATGAAAATAAAAGGGCAATTTTAGGCTGATAAAATCTGTAATATTTAAAAAAGGCAATCTGGGTAAAATGTATTTTCCCAAGCCATTAGGGAGAGTGGGGTGGAGGGGGGGCACATTAGTTTTATTCTGAATTTTGATATATTTGATATCACAATCTTCTTCTTGCTGACTTCTACATGAGTTATCATGCACTGATTTTGGATGAATTCCAAAAAGTATCTTTAGTTACCATAAAGGAGTGAAAAAGAAACAACCTCTGGTGACAATCCTGCAAAATTAATGTATTTGCAAAATAAACATGTGAGGCACAGCCTGAAAATATCCCCAGGAAGGGGAAGGGGGTGAATAATCCTGGGCCAATTTTCAGACAAGTATCCTTCCCTTTTGAAATGGGAGTCCCTCCCCTGGGAAATATACCATTTCATTTCTCAGATCATGTAAAAGAGAATCCATTGGTAAAACAGATGCACGTCTTTACAGAATAATAATTTTGTGCTCAAAGAATGCTGCCCTTACCTGCAAGACATTAGAGCAACAACAACCAGAGCTGCAACAAGAATTCCATAGGCCCACTGAAAGAAGACAGACATCATGGCACCATTGTTAGCTGAATTAGTGCAGACTGATGGCCTTAACAGTGCACAAGAAATTAAATGAGTTATAAATTTCAATTTAGAATCAATATCAACATTAATTTTGCCTTATACCTGGAATACAAGGGGATTTGTTATTGTTAAATACACCTGTAAAAAGAGCAGATTAACATTATTAGCCAATTACAACTGCTACAAAAGAATCAAGAAAGCAATAAAAATCAATCAAACATTATACGAAAATTAGTCATTGATCAATAAATAAATCAATAAAAGCAAAGAAATAGTAAACTATTACACAGTCACTTAAGAGAATTTCAGTCAAAAAAATTGATCAAGGAACAAATCGAATAAGCATTAAAAACAGTAACTCCAACGAGTCATATCATAATCAGTCTAATTCAACCAGTTGTTTAATTGCAGTTACAGCAAAAGATGATCAATCAGTCCAATAATTTTAAAGGATCAACCATCGAACTTACACACACAACAGATCACACATACTCAAATTCACAAAACAAAACAGTCAATCTGAGTGATCAAACAACTAATGATGATACATTTATTATTTGTTAATTGTTAACTGCCTAGTCATCAAGCTAGTCAATCAGCAGTTCTCAACAGCTAGTATTAACATGTCTCATGTATGGTTACTTACCAAAGTAATCATAGAGCAACAAAAGATAAGGACCAACAAGAGAGTGGTGTTGTGTTGCCTTGGGTGATAAGAACACTGACAGCTGAGAAAAACAAGACATGAAAAAAAAATGCCATACATAAATTATCTTACCTAAGACTTTAAAGGTTAATTGATGCATGTATTTGATGATTTGTGACACAAGAAAGGGTATAAAAAATATACTTACATGCAGAATATCATGATGCAAGTACAATAAATCATTGGAAGTTCGTCGAGAAGCTACAATGAAGAAACCAATAATATTGCATTGGTCAGAAAGTAAAGATTGTATTACTAAGCAAAAAAATTTAAAATGCAAACACAAGGGCATGGAGCCCCAAATTGAAGACAGAGCTTATTCTGGTTTCAGTTTTTACATGAGGTGCAGGCTGATGGTCGGTCATCACCCCCAGATTTTCCCACATTGATAAAGAAGCTTTTTGCTGTTAAACAAAATCTCACCTGCATTTCATACAGCAATGTAGCATGGAAGCAAAGGGATCCTATTCCCACAACTGAAGAAACAACAAAAACAACAACTTTACCAATACCATTTCTCCTTAACACTCTCTTTGTTAATCTGTGTCATGTTCAGCCATCCAAAACTATTTACTCAGTCTCAAAAATGCAGTCTAGCTAAAATACATATTGTGGTCTTAAACTGAGAACAAAAAAAGCTGTCTTTCTTACTTTTTTTACATCTGTAATAAACAATTTATAGCTAAATATGCAAATTGAATAAACACTCAAGGAAATTTGTTTGCAACAATAGCCTCTACAATAGGCATCGAAAGGGGTGGGGGATCGGAACGAAGAGACAAAGGGTGGGAGATCAAGGGAGAGAAGTAAAGGGACTTTGACACCTGCCACGTCACCGTTTTGGGTGGGAATGTGCCACTGACACACTGGAACCCTTAGCCTATACCACAGCTAGTTCAGCTGAATTTTGTGACGCTATACTAGACTAAACTCCCCACATCCCCCTATCTCAGAGTAGCTTTTAGGCTGGGTTGCGTTAATTCAAACTTGCCGAATTGATCTCTTTTATTCTTTTGAGTGGCAATTCCTGGTTTCCCTAGTCTAGACTAAAATCTTCAACGAATTGATCAGTTTCCTGGAAAATGATACCCTATTCTAGACCCAAACTCTCTGATTTATTTACCCTATCCCAGAGGCAACTGCTTGAAAACCATACCCTTGCCTTTAGGGCGGCACATACCTATAAAGCCCATATATGGCAGTATGTTCACCCCCCCTCCAGTTCAGCCACTCATTTATTCAAGGGGAACTTATTGGCTTGTTTGGTTGAGAGGGTGGGTGTGCATTTAGGGGAAAGAGCTTTTTAGAACCTTAGTGATTATTCAAGGAAATACTGCACACTGATATATTTTCAACCTTGAAGGTTTTTTTTTTTCAATACAAATTTCAGTTTAATTGGCTCACCAAATAATGAAATGAATGTTAGGGTGTAGCGTCTTTCCAATTTGGTTTTCCATGATAGCCATGCTCCAAATAATGTTGGTAACAAAAACAACCAGTTGCTAATTGTGTTCCCTAAAGAAATAAAAGAAGAAGGAAAGGAGGAAGGAAGAAAGACAAAAGGAAAAAAAATTCAGGAAAAAATTTAGATTAAACATAATGCATACTCACAGAGCCAAGGGAACATATGTAGCTTAAATACACACAGATTTTTGCAGGCATATCATTTTTGTGGGAAAAGTTTATAAAATACCTGTGGGGCACTGAACAAAGCAATAAATTGTTATAGGGGGGTAGCCTCCGCCCAGAGGTACAAACCCACAGGGGGGGGGGGGAGAGTACGCCAAACAATGGCCGGTAAAGGAAGGCTCCACCCAATACGAGTTGATCCTTTTTTCAGGGTTCAGGTATAAGAAAGGGTAGTGATTTCGCATAGTTTCAAAGTATATGAAGTCTCTCCCCCTATACAGGCAATTAGATGGAGTAGCCATCCCCCCCCCCCCCCCCCCCCCCCGGGCTCCCGTTTTTGGGCCCGGGTTTTTTCCAAAGGGGGGAAGGTCCGGGGTGGATTTTTTCTCAAAGGGGCGGTTTTTTTTTCTCCCCCGCGTTTTTTTTTCCCCTTTTTTCCCCCCTTTTTAAAAAAAAATTATTTACTAAAAATTTTGGTGTTTTTATAAACACATTTCCAAAAAAAAAAAACGCTGTGTAGGGGGGGGGGGAGGTCGCCCAAAAAATGGCCGGAAAGGGAGGGCCCCCCCCAAATGGGTTTGACCTTTTTTCAGGGTTTAAGTAAAAAAAAGGGGGAGGGTTTTGCATATTTTCAAAATTTATGAAAGCCCCCCCCCCATAACGGCAAATAAAGGGGGGGACCCCCCCCCCCCCCCCCCCCCGCTGCCCGGGATAAAACGACTGGGCGAGCTACGAAGTACTACATCTTACTTTACACAAACCCGACAGCAAAACTTTGCTGAAACTGCCAATAAAAACACACATAGAAATGCACAATACAAAATTCAATTTCTCAAGAAACAATAACAAACAAAGTGGTGATTGCAATAGACATTTGAGCTTTTTCATCCTGTTTCTCCAATTCAGGTCATGTGATGTTCTCTTGTCTTTTGTATTGTTTATTCATAAATTATGCATACATGTTGTGGTTCAAATTTTATTTTTCTTTGTTTGAAACTTATTATCATTAGTTACCATAACTCAAGACAGAGGAAAATAGAATTTTAACCAAAGATAAAAAAGACCTTCCACAACATAATATGAAAAGGAATATTTCTCTAGAGTAAATAATGGACTTCATGTAATATGTTAATTATTGTTTATAAAGGGTGTGTGTCAAATTAACAGCTGGCCTTACACTTGATAAAGAAAAGATACAAGATAAAAAGAGGGCTAATTCAAAAAAAAAAAACAAAAAAACATCTGTTGAGCTATAGTCCATCATAACATCTTCAGTTAGCATTTTTTGGAGTAGAACATCACAAACAATAGTCTTTTGATCATTTTGTATAAACTGACCAATAGAAACATTCCATTAATTTTTTCAGTAAAAATTTGCAAACTAAAACAAAAGATTGTGCATGGTGGGAGAGCTCCCAACATGAACTGCAGCAGAGTTGTTGTCATCTCTGATTCTTGCTGGCTTTCATTACCACTGTATCTACAAACTATTGTTAAATTTTTGGAAGTAAATGATTTCAAGTCGCCAAATTTGACTTTCAAGATCAATAGCAATTTTCGTATATTCAACTTTATGTGACAAAGCCAGTGTAACGTTGAAGTGAAAGGGGAGGAACATGCTTATTACTAGATATAATTAAGGTTACATCAGTTGATGCGGGTTATATCTGTCTGAGTGTATCTGATAGCGCTCGTATTCAACGCATTCCAAATTATTCTGTCGTTGTCGTATTTGTATTTTTTTCACAGCTCAGAGAAGATACCTTTGGTAAAAATACGTCACTCAGCACTCAGGTACATCTTATAGAGTGATATAAGAGGCTGTTGTTTTTCGTTATTATGATAAAAGATTGTTGTTCTTCCACAAAAACTCCAACAATATTTTAGTTTGAATGGTCAATCAAGTGACACCTTTTTCGCGAAAAGAAAGTAGCCTGTGGAGTTTCAGAAGAAGTTTAAAAATATCCTGATCTTTAAACCCAATTTCTAGATCCTTATATCCGCGGTTGATCGATTCGATAGGCCTGCCTCTTTGCACGAACGTTCGATTTCGCAGCAAAGGTGCACGCTTCAATTCTGGAAATGGTTTTGCAAAAGTGGTATTCGACACCTGCTTGTATTTTAGATCACCGAACCAATTCAATAAACACTTACAAAACTCAGCAAGGAATGACGACACGGCATAGTTTTCCTCACACCAATCGATCGTGGCAGTTGCTTCGCCCCAGAATCCTTCCGTGTTACTGTCCGCAGTTAGGGGCGGCATATTTGACGTGTCCTTAGCAATGTTTTGCAGATATTTGTTCGCGTCTGTAATTGTAATGTATGCTCACGCCCCTAAAGACTCCACTTACGAGGTTCATGATCTCCGCGAATAATGCTAATTAGGTTACGTTGTTGTTGTACCCCGCGCGAAGGTGCGAACCGCAAAAGGCACGCATGGTCCGCAAATGTAACAAAATACAACAAACAGTCAGCGGCTTACCTCCAAAATGCCAAATGCAAATAGCTGAGTTTGAGCCCTCGTTTCGTAAATCAGCTGATTAACGCAAAAAAGTTAACCCGCATTGTCTTCTGGGACATGCTTAGTCACTCAAGGAACAAAGATGGCGACTACCGAGACGGCGAGGGAAAAAGCTTTGGTAAATTACAGAAAGAAGCTTTTAGAACACAGGGAACTGGATGCGCGCTTAAAAGACAGTATGTTTTATACAGTTTTATTTCTTTCAATCCGATTGACCGAAGCAAATGTAAATTCAGAAAGTCAATTGATATAAAAGGATGCCAAATTTTGCAAAACAAACGGTATCGAAACTTAGATATGAGCCCAATTTATTTCTTTTGCCTAGATTGTTTTTTTGTATGACTTAAGGAGATTTAAGGGGCATACATAGTTTAAATAATATGTGCTTGTATGGATGTGGACAAACGTCAAAATGATGTCAAACAAAGTCTAGTCCTGATCCTAGTAGTTTTGCTCACTTGTCAATTTAATCTACCGTAAAATTCCGAAAATAAGCCCCTCCATGTATAAGCCCCTCCAAAAATAAACCCCCCAAACCGGTTACACAAAAAACCCTCCGTTAAATCGCCCCTCAAAATATAAGGCCCCCAGGGGCTTGTACTTGGAAAATCACCCTCAAATGCAAAGTAAAACAAAGCAAAAACGGTAAATGTACTTCCAACTATAAGGCTAGCCCAATCGATTTTGAAATGAAAATTTCCCTCCGTAGATAAGCCCCCGCACCCCCACCCGAATATAAGCCCCTCCAAAAATAAGCCCGTGAAAAAGGGCCTTTGAAAAATATAAGCCCCGGGGCTTATTTTCGGAAGTTTACAGTAGTTTCAGGCTACGTTCGCACTACGTGCTGGCATGAGAACCATACTGGATAGGGCTTCTCTTCACACACACAAGAACGGCTATTTTGGCATGATTTCTGTAATGACAAGAAGCCATGCCACGCCGCGCTGATCTTTGAAGTGTTGAGTCATTTGTCAGGGTCTGGAAGGGGTTTTGCATGATCTGTTAATTGACCGGTAAACGGAGCATGAATCAGAAAACTTGTGAAATACAGTCGTGATTCATGAATTATATATTCATTGTGATATGTGATCCTCTAACATTGTAGTGTGTGAATTGAGAGTTCTATCGATAAAACAGATGTAAGTGTTTTGACGAGGGTTCAAAGTTAAACCATGGAAAAGTGAAAAATTGTAGAGCATTGATTTTATAGCAGTAAAATTCATTGCCAGTCAACTTTGTAGTCATCAAACAAAAAGCAGAGAATCGCCAGTTTGATCTGCACCATACTTTTTGTTTCCTTCCTATCACGGGATCATTTAAGACCAACTCTTGCCTATAGTAGTCCAGAAACCACTAAGAATAGTTGATGGACTTGATCAGTTTGTCACCTAATCACGTGATTTGTGAAATGACTCCAAAAGGTAACATGATTTGTGAATCTATGGAAATTTAACCTGTGATTTGTGATCACCACCCACCTCTTCCAGACCCTGGTGTATCAGATAAGTGTTCATGCTGTACCAGATAGTTTTTTGCACAGTGCGAAAAGGTATCTGGCTTACAGGCCTCATAGTAATTTCTGGAGAGTCTCCAGGCATGATGACCGGCCAAATTCATTTTAGCTCGGTCATGTATCGTTTCTGGCCAGTCAAATTTATGAGATAAACAACTCATTTAAAACAAGGGCCAATGAACCAAAAATGGTGTTATATAATAATCAGGTATGCTCATTACAAAGTCGTTGCTTAACTAGTAAAAGCAAAAATATTTTTGATTTTGTGACCAAAAGTGCATGAACCCTGATGTCTGTTTCATTGTGCAAATAATTCGTACGTACGGTTCTAGTTTCATTTCACCCAGGATTTCAGATCTAAGTTCTGCAATACATGTAGCGACTCGCTACACACTGATAACAACTGAAACAACTGAACAGTGTGGAAATTTTAATTTATTTAATTTTCAATACAATCAATTCGGAATGTGACTGGTCAACATGACCAGCAATACGAAAGGATGACTCCCCAGTCAGTCCGGACATTGTCCGTTGGCCAGCTGTTATCTCGAGCCCTGGGCTTAGTGTGAACATAACCTTAAAGTTTTGGTACAGCTGGGTAACTGCTGCACCACCAAGCCACTTAAAATATTATCCTTCAATAATAATGCAGTGAGCCAGAAACATCCTTATTTCAACTGTGGCCCACCAATTATTTTACGAAAGCATTAAATTACGTTTACCAGTGTTTGCCACCACATTAACAAAATTGTTGTTGTGACGTACTGTAAGTTTACTGTAGTTGTGCAAGCATTGTTCTTTCTTATGAATTTTCATTTTTTTTATTTTTCATAGTGAGGGATAAACTGAAAGATTTAAGTAAAGAGTATGACAAATCTGAGAATGACTTGAAAGCTTTACAGAGTGTTGGCCAGGTAATTATTCAAGATGTGTACCGTGTGGCACAAAATTTTTGTGGGAGTTTATTTTTGCAGATTGGTGATTTTTGTGTTTTGCAAGAACTAATTTTTGTGATTAGGACAGATCGGTTTTTCTTGCTGGGAATTAATTTTGGTGAATTTCAGAAAGTCTGTGACCAATCACTGATAGTATTCCGGGTATACGTGCTATGGAAATACATATTTTCAAACAATACTATGGGCGGTGTACCCTATTTGAAACCAGTATTTTGTTGTATACTGTTTTGTTTCCGAACGAAAGAGACAAGTTGCAATTGAACAGACCCGGTTTCTTTCTCATTTTTGTGTAGCAAATTTAAGTTAGAGATTATTTACTCTGGAGTAAATTTTTGCACCAGAACCCGCAAAAATTTCGTTCCGCATGGTATTCATTTTCAGTTCACATGTCATATGGCATTTGAAGGCTAAGAAGATCAAATTTTTTCTCTTACATTATTAATTTTGTTTTATTGTGTGACTGCAGCAGGGCTAGATTATTTGGTAGAGCACTTGACTGCAGAGTGGGAGGTGACATGCTCGATCCCCTGGGCAGACCAATACTCAAGGTCTTGAAATACAACTGAGAAATGAAGGTCTGCCTTTGCCCTGCAAGCAGCGAATGTGACCTTCACATGGTTTACGTGACCATGTAAAGTGGTGGTCATCCTTAATTAGTATTTTTATGCCAAATCCATTGAGACTCAAGTACAAGTTATTTTGTCAAAGTTACATGGTTGGTATTTTTCTGTACAGCAAGTACTGGTCACAGGGGACGCAATTTGAAGGATGCACCTCTGAGTGTGCATTAGTAAAATAAAGCATGGTGCAACCCTTCAAGTCAAAGTTTTTGCTCAGTTGCCATTTGGCAACCAACTCTTTTGGTTTAGGGAGGCTTTTTTACAAATCAATTTGCCAGCTGCAAAATTTAAGGCGCCATTGTGACCAAAATGATCCCAACTTGGTGGGTTGCATGGTGGCCTAGTGGTTTATTTTAGTGTACCCTGCCCCAGATCAAGAGGTCAAAATGAACTCCTTTGGTAGGACTTTAGCACAATATCATGTATTTCTTAGGATTTTGCCAAATAGAATTTGGAACTTTTTTCGTGAATTTTCTCTTTGTCCACAGTCAGTAGTGAAAAAGCTAAACTAGCTACTTGGATTCATTAACGAATGCTTGCTGTGTAGCCTAAGATGTTTGTTTCTTTGAAACTTCTGTTTCACAGATTGTTGGTGAGGTTCTACGGCAACTGACTGAGGAGAAATGTAAGTGTTCAGTTTAATAATCCATTTTATATGTCTCTGTATTGTTTATTTTCAAAATTAAGAGTCAAGCGTTTTTTTTTTGGCTGATAGTACATGGTATTGAGTATACCTTTCTTTTTTAGTTATCGTGAAGGCCACCAATGGACCACGTTATGTAGTGGGTTGTAGGAGACAGGTATTTTCTATATTAAGTTCACGTACAGCTATTTGTCTACTCTGTAACCAACAGGTTAGCACTTAAACTCTAAAATGTTCTCTCATTGCTGCAAACTTTTGGTCACATACCCAACCTCAATGTTTACTAGTTAGTTAAGGCAGTGTAGTGAGCTCAAGATTTTGCTGCTCATCTTCTGTTTTTCGTGTCACGCAATCAAAATAATTACAACATACAAACCATTAAATACAGAAAGTCCAGAATCTGGGAAATGAAAGAAGATAAATATACAAAAAGCCTCGCCAAGAATCAGGTCTGTGTGATATTTGATATGTAAGACATTCGGGAAAATGTTTTACCCAAATTTATAAAGCTTTGTATGGAGATGCCATATTGGTGCCCCTTTGAGGGGCGCAAAAAGTGGTGGCCAAAAACCAACAGAAACATCTGTCTTTGAGCTTTCCAACCAAAGTGTGAATTCATTGCTTGAGGAACTCACAAAAATTAAAGTAATATTTATTCTGAGACAACGAATGTTTAGATTGCAAAATCTATAGAAATCTGTAGAAATTGGTAGCATTTTTAACCCACATAAAAGTTTTCCCCTTCGCAAGCTAAATGTTGCGTGATGCAAAAGCTTGAAATTTCAAGCATTCTCTATCGCAAAACGAGACACCCTTTTGAACCGAAAATTTGTATAATTAGAGGTGTTTCGCTGCTGTAATACATGTACCTCATGACGTCAAGTGAAAACCGAGAATTATTCGCAAGAGGTAACTTAAATGATTCCATCATCCCAATGACACTTAGGTTATTCAAAGAATACTGTAAACTGCCGCTTATAAGCCTTGGTTTCCTCCTACATTTTCATCAGGGGTTTTTAATACATTTGAAAGGGGGCTAATATTATTGGATGTATTTTTTTGTTTACGGGTAGATGGCCCTGTGACTGGGGGGCTTTTAACCTATTCGCACCTGAGCTGCCCTTAACTGCCTGTGAGGATCCACGTCCCCTTTTATCGCTTGTGACATCATCAGTTTTAATGGTCAAGGACAACTTTGTCCACTAACCTGTGCAGAGTGAAGAGATCTTTCAAACCATACATACCAGAATGAGCACAATTCAGTCAAGGACTCCGTGGAAAAAGGCAAAAAACCATGTTACATTGATCTGAAAGTTCCCATGAAAATCTTGTTCCACTACCTACCTACCTTTGCTTTCATCTAATCCTAAGATCCTAAAAGCTTTCCTAAAACTTTTTCTGACAAAATGAAACCCACTAAATGCCCAGCAAAGGAAAAAAAATGAGGCAAGAAAATAAAGAGGGGAGGAGAGAAAGCAAAAAGTAAAAGTCAAGACTCTTGTGTCACTTTTAAAACCCAAAAACTATCTTGAAATTTTGCTCTCTGCGCATACCCGAACTTCGCAAGCTAATATTTTGCATCTGCATCAGAAGGCCGCAAAGTGTGTGAACTGTACATGTAAAGGGCTTTGTGGTAAGTTTAAGGTCTTTATAGCATGACAGTGATCAGAAAACTGTTCGACTAGCTTTAAAATGTGTTTTCAGCAAAATTTCCATTGACAAATGGGTTAAGTGGCAGGTTTACAGTATGCCATATGCATTTTGTTGTTCCTATCAGGTTGACAAAAAGAAGCTCAAACAAGGAACTCGTGTGGCCCTTGATATGACAACACTAACTATTATGAGGTAATGCAGTTGTTTTCTTGTCTAAAAAATGCCAAATTTCCTCAAGTAAGTAATGACCAAAGACAAATTACATCACAGTTTTCTTTTAAGAAAAAAATAGTTATTTGTTTGACTTGGTTATTTTGAACTACCGGTAAACATCATTCTGTCTTTGTCATTTTCTCAAGGTATCTTCCTCGAGAAGTTGACCCTCTTGTATACAACATGTCACATGAAGATCCTGGAAATATTTCGTACTCTGAAGTCGGAGGACTCAGCGAACAGATCAGGGAGCTTCGAGAGGTAACTTTTTAGCTAAAGAGCCTTACAGCAAGATATGATCATGTGCTTTATTTTTACTATTTTTTTTCCGTTTTGAGTTTTTTTTCCCCTCTAATTTCAAAAATGTATACCTGTACCAGGACTTGAAAAAATGTTGATCTGATCGCTCAGGACAACTTTATTTCGTAAATTTCCCGACGGGCAGGGACCCAGACAAGTTATCTTGTAACTAAATCATTTGCTATGACAAGCAAGCAATGGCAGTGGGCAAGCAAAATGGCATCATAATACGTTTCTGAGAAACTGTCCACCCACCCCTCCCCCAACATTTTGCTTTAAGTGAGAAGTAAGTGTTAATGTTGGCTTAGGGGAGGGGTATGTAGGCAGTTTCCCAGAAATGTATAATGCTCTGCAAAATGTGAGAGCTGCTTGCCCAAAGGACAAGCTGGAATTCATTACTTTTTTTATTTTTCAATGTCAGGTACATTCCATGATTTTCATGCTAGAACTTGAGTCTGGCAACTTGCTTTTAAGAAAGAAAAATTTGCAAGAACAGTGAAAAAAAAATGGTGTGGATGTATCGTAATGGCCTATAGCCACAGAGGGTTATTAAAGAAGCTCTTAAGTAACACCATCTGTGTAATATTTTTGCAGGTGATAGAACTTCCCTTGACCAATCCTGAACTGTTCCAGAGAGTGGGAATATCTCCTCCAAAAGGTTGCCTCCTGTTTGGGCCTCCAGGTGATTACAAGCTTCCACGTTTTTGATTAGCTCTTTCTTTTTGGCCCTTCATTTTACATTTGTGTACGTGCTTTGATAAAGGGGTTTTAATATATTATAACCCAGGGACTACATACTGGAACAGGCAGGCGGGGTGGGGGGGAGGGGTAAAGTTCTTTGAGATGCCCTGTATTTCTTTAAGCCATGTGGGGATGGATGTGGTTAGCCTGTGAAAAGGCTCCCATGTGGGGCAGAAAAGAAAATCGGCAAGTGAAGTGATTGGAGCATGGCTTGGGGGAGAGAAAAAGGCAGGGAAGCCTGCAGACTTTGTTTTGAGACCGGCCATCCACCCACTTGCAATTTTCCTGTAACATATATGTCAATAACATGTCAATAAGATAATTAAACCTGTCAAATTATAATGTTTTTTATGCTTGAATGCATCAGCTTCAATAACATTCTTGCACACATGGGTATTTTTCATGGAGTGAGGAATATATTCATTCAATATTCATTTGCTGGCTTGTCTACAGTCAGTGATCTGACCTAACAGATTGTGATACCAGAATCTGGTATCATATTCATGAGTGACATCAAAACAAAGTCTACAGGCTCCCCTGCGTCTTTTTTGCCCCACTCCACTTGGGAGCCTGTTTGTAGGTTAGGATGTGGTATGAGTGAAGTCCAGAGGTGGAGTGTAAGTTTTTTTTATTTACTACAGAGGGAGGTGAGGGAATGTTTTGCAGACATATGAAGGGATTTTTCCAATCCTTCTCCTGGGTCATAATAAATTAAAGAAAGTCTCTAAGCTCTTAAGACTGACAAGTTAGACTTATCAATTTATTGGCTAATTTTTTTTGCCTTTCTTCCTCAGGAACTGGGAAGACATTACTTGCAAGGGCTGTTGCGAGCCAGTTAGATGCAAACTTTCTAAAGGTAATTTTTCTGAGTAATTCTAACGTCAAGGCAGAATATATTTTCAGTACAGAGGAGCCTCATTGCCCCAGTCTTATTTATACATGTCCATCTGATGTAGGTCTTTGGATTAGAAACGTCTGTTTCCTTCCACTGGCATTGAGAAATAGCAGGGAAAAACTAAGTCTGTGTTCCTCTGTTGGCTCATTCAACGTATTGCTATTCATGATCTTTCTTTTCACTTTGAGCTTAAAAATTCTTCATCCTGTTTCTTTTTTAGTTTCCTTGATTATTTTCAACAACAGATAGCTCAGTAGTACTTGGCTGCAGTGTTTTTGTTTCAAGAGGAAGCCCATCATTCACCTTGTGGTCTTTAGAAAAATATATACATGTGCAATCAGACTTGAAGGAGAATGTTAATTTTCTTTTTGTTTTTCAACTGTAGGTGGTTTCCAGTGCAATTGTAGACAAATATATTGGTGAAAGTGCAAGGCTTATAAGAGAGATGTTTGGTAAATGTTACTTAATAATAATAAATGAAAATAAATACTTAACTTTCCACTTTAGTGACCAGATTTCTCTTTGATTTAGATTTAAATTAAAAGAGTAAAGTTAAAACAATCATTTCATCTTATCTTGCTTTACTTTCAAATGTGCCAAATCGCATAAACAAAGCCAGTTTACCTCCAAATTTATACTGACTTCTGTCTGTGATGTTTTCAAACAATCAAATCTGATGGGTCGCGCCATACTATGAGCTGCATCATTTACTTTATACAAACTGGCGACTAAATGTTTGCATCTGGCAACTATATTTCTCCAGTTGGTCGCCAAAAGGCGACCTGAGGATTTTTTAATTTCAAGCCCTGTATTGGAAGAGCCAAACATGAAAGGTCAAGAGATCTTTTATGCTTATTAGCTGTCATTAAAATCTCAAAATTTACAATAAGATTTCATTCACAGACTTAAAAGTTAGAACCATCTTGAAAAGCAAGATAACAGTACCTTAGAAAAAGTGACACAGACAGTTATGCTTTGTATAAGACTAATAACAATGGGTCGGTTTTAACTGTTTTGTTTCACAGGTTATGCGAGAGATCATGAGCCATGCATTATTTTTATGGATGAAATTGATGCCATTGGTATGTGTCATTAATTTATCAATCACTTCACTTGCTTTGCAAGAGAATGTATCTTTCAAAGCTAGAGGATTTCACTACCACTTTACCAGTCTTGCACCTTAACAACTTTGTAGCCTGTGTGGCAGGCGCAAAAAGGGGAGGGGGGAGGGTGGAGGGGGAGGGAGAAAAGTGCGAAAGCTCTCTCTTCCCAACCCCTCTCCCTTTTTCCCTGCTATGCAGGCTAACAACTTTGGTGATTTCTTGGTGTTGCAGATGGGTGTGATCAATAAATTATGTATTACAAAATATTGAAGTCTCCGAGCAATACCTTAACCAGTAAACAATACATGACCAACCTTGGTTTCTGCAACACTAAACACCCACAACTTTGCTGACTGGGTAGCATCTCTTGAAGATAGAAGAAAAGAAACTGGTTTCTCATTGTGGTTTCTCATCAACACATCAAAAGCTTCTCAGCAGCTAAAGGGAATGTGCTGAAAAGAGTGTTATGCAGACATCATAGTTATATTCAATAACCATTTCATTGACATAGTGTTTAGCTTGTAGCCATATGCCCATCTATCAACCAATAACTTTATTAACGTGTTGGAAAACTTCTAGCACACCACAAGTGGCGCACTAATGGTGGACACTTAAACATTTTAGACAATTAATATAAAAAATATAATATAATATCTTGGTATTGGACAATTTTACATTTCCGCAGTAAAAATAGAGCATTTGTAAACAATTTTTTACCTCATTATTGTTTTCTTGTAGGTGGGCGTCGTTTCTCTGAGGGTACTTCTGCTGACAGAGAAATACAACGAACACTTATGGAGGTTGGTATTTCACAAGAATTGGACCTCAAATAAATAATTTGATTATAAACCACTAGTGTTTAAACTTAGAACTCTAGTAGCAGGAGAAAGGCTTAACGTTACAAGAGAATATTTTGAAAAAGTCTCCGCGTCTGAATAAAAAATGGTCGTAGGGGGTCGGGGGGGGGGAATTGCAGTGTTTGGCGAAGAAAAGGAAGTCAGTTTTGTTTTGAAATATTGGGAAGTTCGAAAAATCGGGGGTAAGATTGCATTGTGGCAGACAAATGGCATTCATTGTGTGAGAAAATAGAGGTTTCTTGGGATTACTATTAGGTAACCTTAGGAATTATGTGTAGTGTTAAACTTGATCAGCAGAGAGACGATCTTATCAACTTATGGAGTTTGAATAGTGCATTAAGAATACTCAACCTTTGCTAGGAGTCTGTCTAAAAACAACTGTTTCTTTTTTTAGCTTCTGAACCAAATGGATGGCTTTGATGCCTTAGGACAGGTAAAGGACGTTCTCCATTTTTTTGTAGTCTGTCTAGTTCCAGTAACTTAGACATACGAAAGCGGATACCTTGAGGTGAAAATATCACGAACAGAAAGCGGAGTGCAAAAAAAGGGGTCGTCACTTGGTTTCTTCTTTTCCTGTCCCCTTTGCGGTGCCTGTTACACAGACTAGAAAAATTCTGGATAATATGATAATAAATAAATACCGTAAAATTCCGAAAATAGGCCCCGGGGCTTATATTTTTCAAAGGCCCCTTTTGAGGGGCTTATTTTTGGAGGGGCTTATATTCGGAGGGGCTTATCTACGGAGGGAAATTTGCGTTTCAATATCGATTGGGCTAGCCTTATAGTTGGAAGGAAATGTACCGTTTTTGCTTGTTTTACTTTGTGTTTGAGGGCGATTTCCAAGTACAAGCCCCCGGGGGCTTATATTTGGAGGGGCGATTTAACGGAGGGTTTTTTGTGTTATGAGTTTGGGGGGCTTATATTTGGAGGGGCTTATACATGGAGGGGCCTATTTTCGGAATTTTACGGTATTTTTTTATGTTAGCATTTCGACGCAGTGACTCTATTCAACGATTTATTTATTTCTTTAACTTCTTCGTATTCGTCGTGGTTCGAAAAGCCAGCTCATCACTGATGTTATATAGGATAGAGTTACGCCATAGGCTCTTGTTAAAATCTCCACCCTTTCCCTCTCCTCCCAGGTTAAAATAATCATGGCCACAAACCGTCCCGACACTCTCGACCCAGCCCTTCTCAGGCCAGGTCGTCTGGATCGTAAGATAGGTAAGTGCACCTTGGTTGAAGTGACGTTGCATGAAATAATTTGAATCGGGCTGCTGCTATCTAGTCTCCCTCACAGCCGTTTCTGTCTCGTCACGCAACGCTCCTTGTTGGGGAGGAGCGTTACGTTACAAAAACAGCTGCCAGGGAGAGTAGCTACAACGGGACTTCTGGAAACTAGTGTGTTTAAACGGCTCTCAATCGAGAATATACTCATCGAAAATGTCTGGAATTTGAAACACTGTAAGACTATAATAATTGGCTTCACGCTCCTTTTCCGGGAAGTTCGGACTTGAGAGCAGCGAATTTTCTTGAAGGCCTTCCAGTTCGTATCTTATTTGAGCCACTAGGGGTCGGTTATTGAAACAAAGCTTTGACCGAAGTCAAGACAATCTGTGGACCTGCAGATCTGGTTCTGAATGGGTTTACTTTATATCTCTGTTTATATTTTCTGGTCTACATCAAATGCCTTCTTGTCACCGTCAACAGTATAAGAACGTGGTTTTCTAAAACCAGGTAAACTCTCTTTAAAAAACTCTCTGGTACTCATACCCTGAGTACCAGGAGCTTTTTCATTGCGTGCGGCGGATTACTTCGGATTCGGCCTCATATCCTCAGCCGAGGGCCGAGGCCACCAGTGGAAAGGCCGGGAGGAAAAAACCTGCTTTTCGCGCGGATCATTACAAAGACTTGACTGAGACAAAAAGAGGAAACCGCGCATGAAAAGTCTCTGGATTTTCAGCGTTGTTATTTCCCACTTGTTTATATTGCTTGTCTTACAGTCAAGCCATAGGTCAGGCGTACCCCCCTAAGATGCCATTAAGGAATTTATTATTCCAAAGTTGAATCTGTTGGCACTTGTAGCTCAGATTCATCTCTGCATTCTAGCATGCGTAATGAGCTGTGAATTCACACGCGAGGCAGTTAGGAAATTTCTACCAGCCCAGTTTCCCTTAGTCTGCTACACAGCCGTTTTTAGTGTCGTCACGCAACGCTCCTCCCCACTGAGGAACGTTGCGTGACGACACTAAAAACGGCTGTGTAGCAGACTAAGTTTCCCTGAATTTGATGTAAATTGTAAATTGTAAATTGTAAATTTCATCCATTCAAAATGTCCAAAAAATGTCCAGAGAAGTTCTCGTAACATATTCACTGCTCATTACGCATGCAGAATGCCGAATTGAATTTACGGGAAGTTACGGGAACAACTGGTCTGCTACACTGCCGTTGTTAGTGTCGTCACGCAACGCTCCTCCCCACTAGCGGGGAGGAGCGTTGCGTGACGACACTAAAAACGGCTGTGTAGCAGACTAGGGAACGACTAACGGATTCATTTTTCAAATAATCAGTTCATTTAATCTTGGAGGGTATGCTTGACCTGCCTTGACTGTCAAAGATAATTACAGCTGTGTTGAATATATTCTCGGTTCTTATCTCAATTCGTTCAATTTCTCTCCAATTAATCATCACAAGTGGGTTTTTTAACAGGATACACGATTTTTTATTATGCCATTTTTTATGCCGTTTCTTCATCACAATTGATGGCATTTATTTCTTTTTTTCCAGAAATACCACTTCCTAACGAGCAGGCTCGCATGGATATTCTTAAGATCCACTCAGCCAAGATCACAAAACACGGTGATATCGGTAGGTGGGGTATCTGTCTTTTATCAAAGGTCGCCTGATCCTTTAGTCCTCTTAAATTTACACATCTTTCCCGTGGGTTTTATGGTAAAAGGTTTCTTTATTATCACTTTGTCGGGCACTGTGGGGCATTTTGCGGGCTAAAGGCTGGTTTTCACTAGCGACGGAGTAGGAGTCGGAGTCGTAAGCAGAGTCGCAAGATAAGAGCGCTTATGACCTAGTGAAAATCAAAAATCGGAGTCGTAAGCGGAGTCATAAGCCCGACGGGAGAAGTCAGGGGAATAAGAACGTTTCCATTTCTCTTGACTCCGCTTACGACTCCGTCTCTTACGTTCCGCTCATGCTGTAGTGAAAACCAGATTGTGTGAGTCGGAAGCAGAAGCGGAAGGATAAACTAATCATAGTGCACGTTCCCACGCTTTGGGATTGGTTTAGTTCTTCTGCTTCTGCTTCTGCTTCCGACTCTGACAATCTGGTTTTCACTAGATCATAAGCGGAAGGTAAGCGATGGAGTCGTAAGCGGAATCGGAACGCTGTTTTACTAGATCATAGGCTCTACCCTTCTGATTACGACTCCGACACCGACTCCGTCCCCAGTGAATACCATAAGATGCTAAAATATATTTTAGCCTGCTGAAATAAACCAATGAAAAGAGAGGATCAAACAGTCATACGATGTGAGCAGCCAATCAAAAACGGGAAGCCATTGCAGTTTGCACGCCGCCCTCTGTCGCCTTTTCTTGATTCGTTTGTCAAAGAAATCACGCTGCTATTTTCAAAGCTCAAATCATGGCTGAAAACGCAACGAAAGCGAGAGGAAGAAGATCTACAAAAGTTAGAGAAACTTCTAAAGTAAATGACGCCTGAAGTAGCTCCATAGTCGGCGACGAAGTGCATATTGGGCCCACAATGTAAACTACTGGGTTTACCAGTAATTGTGACAGCCATTAAATTTTTGCTTATTTATTAATTCATTGTTTACGTTTTAGTGATAAAGAAGATTAAAAGTAGTGCTTTAGCGAGCGAAACACATGATCGCATAAATACTAAGAAAATCGAAAGAAAAGGTGACAGCCTAAGGAAACATTTACGAAGGAATTTTCACGCTGCTTTTCCCAATGCTTAGGTTTTCTGAACTGTCTCACCTCCCAGTTTTCTGTAATTATTTTCGAGTTTTGCAAAGGCGTTATTTTTTCTCTCTCACTCTTGCAGACTATGAGGCTGTGGTTAAACTCTCCGACGGATTCAACGGCGCTGACTTGAGAAATGTTTGTACTGAAGCAGGTTTGTGTGGAATCATTCCATTGCACTAAAATTCTCCCCAACGTCGATCGTTTCGTCTAAGACCGTGTTGCATCTCAAGAAATAGGGACTTTAAGATCCAAGGACGCGATGGCAGAGAATACGTCGCTGAAAAAGTGAATTTGCGTTCTTTCAGGCGTCGTCTGATTTTGTTTTATCACTGGTACGATTACAGACGCACTGTAGTGCACTCAGTATTACTACCATTAATGAATGTGAATATATTTGATGTTCATTAAAAAGAAAAGTCAAGAGTAATAAGCGTGGGAAGACGGCGACTCTGCAGCCGTATTGCTACTCTTAAGGTAACCTGCAGCAACCTTTATTTGTGGGAAGACGGGTTTGGACGTGGGTGATAAAACCCGCAACATCGTTTTTCAACACGTACTGCAGCAATGTGCAAAACGAGCCGCACGTATTTATTGCCCGTTTTACCGTAGCTTTACACAGATTTAGCAAAAAAAACAGTTAAGAACACCAATTTGACCAATCACAGAGCGGCAATTTGAGCACCAGAAGTGGGGACAGTCGCGTTCAACCCTTTTCGCGCGCTTTCGCGTTCTCAGTTGACGTTTTGTCGCCTTTGCTACATCTGCCTATTATTTCAAGTGTAAGAGCATTAACTACCTCCCTTCCCCCCTATTGTGCGGAAACTCCTGAGTTTGACCATTTATGGTTTTCTCCCTTTTTTCAGGAATGTTTGCCATTCGGGCAGAGAGAGACTACGTAATTGAGGAGGATTTCATGAAAGCGGCACGCAAAGTCTCCGACAACAAGAAGCTCGAGTCCAAACTAGATTACAAACCAGTTTAATCATATCAAGCGCCGAGATTTCTGCAGTTCTGTTTTTTTCGTGTTAAACACCATTTTTCCTTCAATAAATAACATCTTCTATTAAAGTTACTGTAAAACTGATGGAGTCACAGTTTTGTTGTACAGTCCTTGGTGCTGGGTAGAGAGTACATAAAGTAGAACTCCCAAGGAAAATAAGAAACAGTTTGGCTTAGCGAAAGTTTAATTGGGCAGGTTGTAATTTACTGAGAATTGACCCAAAGGTAAAGACTTGGCGGGGAGTTCGAGTCGACCGAGTTATTAGAGGCCCATGTTCCAGGAGCTTCAGCCGAGGCCTTTTAATAACGCATTGATATGATACAGTTCATTCGCATTTCTATTTTGCAATTTTTACAATGTTTTTGTGTGCTTTTTTTCTACTATGTTTTTGTGCTTGTTCGAGCATGTTTCGTTTGCTTTATGTTTTTTCTTTTCTTTTTTTTTTCGGAAGCATAAAAGAATCATCTTTAAAAATCCTTGCAGCTGTTAGAAGTTGCTTGTTCTACCTCCAGTATAAAGACTGAATCGAGGCGGAAACAAAATGGGTTGATTTTCTTTGTTTGCTTTTTTTCTTAGCCTCCCTCCCCTACTTTGGCTCGTCAACCTCTCCCTTGGAATTATTTTTGACTGGCCCCAACTCTCTAACTGTTCAACGCCCTGCAAAACCAACGCAAAACACGCCTGCTTTGCTAGTCTCCCTCGCAGCCGTTTTTTGGATGTCACGCAACGTTCCCCTCGTTCTTTTGGGGGAACGTTGCGTGACATCCAAAAAACGTGACATCCAAAGACTATGCTACTTTGTATCAACCCCAGTAGTTTACTCTCTTGAGCCTGCCCAATTGTATGGCCATCGATGTGCACCACTTTCTTAACTTCGTGCTTGGCTCTTGACATAACCAGTACTTGATATTTCGATGGATTACTACGCTGGGTATCAGAGGTTTTTCTCGCGTGCGGCAGGAATTTTCGGTTTTGGCCGAAGGCCGACACATCTTCGGGTCACTATAAAGACTTGACAGAAACCGGAAACCGCGCTAGAGAAGTCTCTGGCACCCAGAGTAATGTAGGCTACGAGTAGTCCCCCATTTTTCCTCAGGGATAGTAGAGCGAGCGAAACGCGAGCGCGCGTGAAAATCACCCCAATCGAGAAAAGGCGACACGCCGCGTGTCGACTTTTCTCGCGTGGGGTGATTTTCACGCGCGCTCACGTTTCGCTTGCTCTACTATCCCTGAGGAAAAATGGGTAGAATGGGGGACTACTTGTAGTGTAAGGGTAATGTATTACGGCCGAGAGGTAGTTGGATTTATACCAGCGACCAGTTGTATTCCCGTCCTCCTCAAGACTGCTGACGACGTTGTCAATCTTCTCACCCGTAATATATATTAGGTGGTCGTCAGCGTAAGCCCTCAGTTGAGAAAGAACGTTTTCATAAAACAGATAATTTCGATAAAAATTCCACAACACTGGGCCAAGTGATAACCCCTGGAGGCATCCGCTTTTGATTTGCTTTCCATTCTCCACAGGTGTCCCCTATATAGATAGTCGCACCCTGTTTTCCCTGTTAGTAAAATAGGACTGCAGAAGAGCCAAGGAGTCGCTACATAACCTACATAGACCATAAGCTTGGAACTTTGAAAGCAGCAGGTTAGGGGATAAGCAATCAAAAGCTTTGCTCATGTCAGCAGATAATACCCCAACTGTGTGGTTGTTGTCAGGAGACCTCTTCCAGTCTTCTACCAGACGCACTAACGTAGTTTCGCCACTATATCGTTTACGGTATGCTGAATTCAAGCCGACAAAGACTTTGTTAAATAGAGGTTCGAGTTGTCCTGCGAGTAGCTGTTCGAATACCTTATCCACTGTTACCAACACAGTAAGAGCAGGTAACAATATGATGCTTAAAACTACCACCTGTAATTTTATGTTTTGTTCTACTACCTACATCCTGTACCGGGCTACCAGTGGTGGCTCTGGGTTCTAACAAAAGGGGGTTCCTCTTTCAGGTAGGTGTGTAGGAATCTTTGAAAGAACAACTGAAACAGGTAAAGGAGTATCCTGAAAGAACAGTGACGGTCATTAGTGACCAGTGGAAAGGTGGTTGCTTTTGTACTGACTGGCGATCCCCTACTCGAGTTTTCATGATAAGTTCCAGCCAACATCATGAACATGATGTACATAAGGGGATTGAGTGGAATATTACGATGAAAGGGTTTTAGAGGATTACTCCGATAACGCAGTCACAAATTTCCAGACAAATTAGCATAAGATTTACAAATAATTCGCGCTATTTTAATCCCCATGGAGCTGTGTCACGAAAATTAGCCATAACAATAGAACTCAAAAATGGGCAAAATTGAAGATTAACACGAATTGCAATTGCGGTTTTGAAAACTATGGTCGAAAAATAATTACGTACTAATTTGCTTGTCTCAAAGCTGTCATTTCGTACAAAATCAGTCGGATTGTGTCGTAATACAGTCATATTTCGAACTTTTATTTCGGTGTCACAAAATTCAATGGACTTACCAATCATAACGAGGATGGAAACCGGAAATGAAAAGGGACTGGAAATTCTAGCCTGAATTTCAGACGATTACTTCGAGTCGTTTACTCCTCTCAGCAACTAGGGTGTAAAAACGACTCAAAGTAATGGTCTGAAAATCAGGCTATGGACATTTCAGAAACAGTTCTGGGGTGTTCAATGGGATCCTGGGGGGTACTCCCTTATATAAACCATGATAAGTATGTGCCGCCCCTATGGCCTAAGGGTATATGGTTGTCTGAAAACGGGTTTTGACTTCGCTCATTTTGGATTGGAATCGGGTATTGTTTGAGGGAACTATTTCCTTTTCCCTCACCGCCGCCAGAGCGCCCCGTAGAGCTTTCTCGCAGGCTAGTTTACGGCCAAGAAATAGATTTGTGACATGCATCAATCGAGCGCTTATTCAAAACGCAACTTGAGCAACCTATTCCTTTGTCCTACGCGTGATTGGTCCATTACGTGCACGTGACTCACTCAGCGGCCGCTGGCACGGAAAAGGCGTTCATGTTGATTCTATCGTTGTGGCAAACGGTTTGAGTCTAATTCGGCTTTCCGATTTTACTAGTACGGGGTATTTTAGTGTGTTTTTTGAGACAGCAAAAGAAGCTTTTCATATTGCTTTCTTTCTTTTGCTTGGTGCATCTAAGTGATAGAAAACGGCGAACTATGCCCGTTCGCAAGGAAGGTATGTGCTCTTTCCCTGCCAAAGTTGGCTCTATGTGTGAGTTGCAGACTGTGCCATACAAGACTCAAAAACATAACTGTTTATCTGTGATTGCTCTAATGAAATTCAATTATGATTATTATAGATGCTGGGAGAGCTCTGGAGCTTCTGGAGCAGTACTATGAAAAGTTAAATAAACCGCAGGACCGTGCTTTACGTACAGCCATAGAAAGAGTTATTCGAATCTTTCAAAGTCATCTATTCTTGGCACTGTTAGGTAAGCCTGGTATTTCTTTGACCCACATTTACTGAGATTTATTTTTTAATATCTTTCAAAGAAGAAAAAGTTAGACTTGCCCTCGATTATAATTCCAAGGTAACTGTATAATCTCAAATAGTGGATTAAGCTACCAGACAAGAAACTGTCTAATACGCGTTTGTAATACTTTTGGTGGGCTCCTCGCTGTTTTGTTGTGACCCATAACAATTCTACGCTGTCATTAAAATTCAGATATTCAAGAGTTTTACGAAACAACGTTGTTGGATGATTCAAAAACACCCGAACAGAAGGCTGAGGAGACCGAAGAAGCCGTGCAGAGATGGGAAAGTAATTCGCCGGCCCAATACCCGCCGAGCTACGCAGACTTTGATAAGGTGAATGACTTTGTTCATGTTTTTAAACCTCTTTAATACGGACGGCGGTCATATTTCCCCGATAGTAAAAGAAATCTGGAGGCAGAGTTTTGGCTAAAATTATGAACTTCTTATCATTAATTTTTTTAAGGTTATTTCGTAATTAGTTTACAGCAAGTAACCGCTTTTTCAGTCGGTTGTCATCACTTCTTGTGTATCAAATATTTTCTATGAGGTATTTCCAGAAGCCATTGATCACTTTGCGTGTTTCTAGATCGCAAATATTGGCCTAGTGTTGAAGGTTTATATTATGACTTTTTAAGATTTTGGGATTTTAAAAATTGTCTTCTTTTGTGTACGAAATTGTTCATTCATTCGGGTTATCAGAAACTAATTTTATCAGCTGGCCCCGAAATTCACAGAGGTTTATCAAAGGTGGCAATTGCATACAACGACTTCTCTAATATACATGTGAAGATTTAGACTGACCACTAAGACGGAATCATTTATTATTTCCCTATAAAAAAAATTGAAAAATTTAATTTGCTTATCTCACAAACAGTCGTAAACTTTTTCTGCATTAAGTGGTTTTTGTTGCTAAAATGTTTTTGCAAATTTCCTTGTTAATGCACTGTTTTGTTTTGGTAAAAGACAGATTGTCATTGTGTACGGAAATTGCATACACCTTTTTCACAAATACAAACACAAATATTAAAAGGATTCAGACTAAAAGCTAAAATGCATAAAGCTTTAAAAAGATTTTTCCTTTTTTAACACAAATGATGTTCAATGTTTTGTATGGCAAAAAAAATTCAATATTTTTAACCATTTTCTGTTCAGGTTGGATAGTACTTGAGATATTACAAATGTGACTTTGTAGCCCCATCCCAATGTATCCGTAATTATTTTGGAAAACTATATTTTTCCTTTGTGGATTGGCTTTCTGCCTGCACCTATCTGACGGAAACATTCACCAAATCCTTATCTTTTCAAAAGCACTATCAAGAGTGGAAATTTTTGAAAGTGCTGTTTTCCCCATACTCAATTGGAGGGAGAAGAACGGAAATTTTTTAAATTGATTGTGTCACGGTAGCTGATGTTGCACGAGATAAGAATGTTTCACTAGTACCTTGCCTTTTTTGTCTTGGAGCATTTATCATTAATTAATTTAAACTTTGGGTGAAGGTATTGCAGAATGACTTAATCAGTACGGC